TTGGCTTTGGAGATCAGTGGTTAACAATCATTACAAGCAAGATTCATTTGGATCTAAGTTTTGAAGTTTGTGTAGCTTTCATGTTGGAAATGGTAAACTTATTCGTTTTTGGCAAGATAGTTGGGCTGCAGACTATTCGCTTCAGTTTCTTTTCCCTAGACTGTTTTCGGTTGCTTCTAACAGATCTGGCAAACTTTGTGAGTTTGGGGATTTCCTTCCATCTAGTTGGGTTTGGGATGTTTAAGTTAGAAGAAATTTAAACGATTGGGAGGTTGAACAATGGTGCAACTTGGTGAGTATCATCTCTCCCTATTCTTTGTCTAAAGATTCCAGTGATGTTTTACTTTGGAAAGGCAGTGGGGATGGTGTTTTTTCAGTCAGCTCTTGTATAAAAAGTTGTGCTTCAGGCTCAGATGGAGTTTGTTTCTGGAATAAAAATATTTGGAGAGGTTTGGTACCCCTAGAGTTGAATCTTTAATGTGGCAGGTTGTGCTTTGTAAGTTAGTTGTTAAATTCGAAATGATTAAAAGAGGTATTCAAGGTATTGAGGATGATTTTTGCCCTCTCTGTAAATTGGCTGAGGAAAATTCCACGCATTTATTCTTTACCTGTTCGGTTGCATAGTCTTTGTGGAACAAATTTTTAAACTTTTGGAGGTTTAGTTTTGTGTTTCCTGTTGATGCTATAACCTTTCTTATCGCTTGGGATGAGCTGAAAGCTAATTCTACTATTTGGACTTTCATTCTGGGGGCTATCATTTGGACCATTTGGAAGACAAGAAATTTTATTGTCTTTGAAGGGGGAAAGCTTGATCAGATAGAATTATTTTTCTTATCAAGAGTTAGGCTTGCTTCTTAGTTTCTAGATAAGAATAAGGATGTTTCTATTCATAAGGATTCTTTGATTACTGATCCTTCATTAACAGATTCTTACTCGCCCTACAGTTTATTGAAGTTTTCTTCAATCCCGTGGGTACCTCCCCCTGCTGGCTTTTTTAAATTGAATGTGGACGCGGCCATTAGCAATGATTGGAAGAAATCGCGTATAGGAGGTATTTGGAGGAATCATTCAGGTACAGTCCTAGGTTCTTTTCAGGAGTCAGCTGGTCCGAGACCTCCGACTTTGCTGGAACTTAAAGCTATTCAAAGGGGTATTTCTTTCTTTGCTTCTGCTCAAGGGAGGGTTAAAGATAGGCTGATTGTTGAGAGTGATAGCAGGGTTGCAGTAAACTGGATCAACAATGTCGACTCATGCCCAGTTGTTTATGCCTTTGTTGTTAGAAATATAGTTGATAATCTTAGAATTTTGGGGGGTTATTAATTGGGTTGCAAGGACAGCTAATATGGACGTTGATGCTTTAGCAAAGACTGGAATAGGCTAATTTTTTTGTTGTTTGCATTCTAAGTTGTCTTTGATTCCTGTTAGGGTGGGTTTTGTTGGTTGTTGTAAGGGTTATTTCGAAGAGATCTCTAGGCTGTAATTAGTATTTTCTTTAATGAAAATCTAAGGCACTCTTTTCCTTCTTCCGCTGATTAAGGAGCCGTTTTCAAGCTCCATTAATCAAGAAGGAGGTTTTTAATGAGGCCTTCAAATCTTATCAAAAAAAAAATTGTGAAAGCAAATAAGGATCTATGGGATCTGTACAAAAAAGAAGAGCAAATCTGGTTTCAAAAATCCCAGACAAAATGGATATCTGATGGCGATCGAAACTCCAGGTATTTCCATCAGTGTGCGTCAAATAGGGTAAGGATTAATGCTTTAAAGATCTTGAAATTTGATGGCAGCATGGTTTCGAACCCGGATCAGATTAAATCCGAAGTTTTTGGATTTTTCAAAGAGGTATACAATTCGAAGCATACCTTAGAGGTGGAGGACATGGATCTGGAATTTGCGAAACTCTTTGAGGCTCAAGTTTCCTTTCTTGAAAGGAATTTTTCGGACGAGGAAATTTGGGAGGCAATTGCTTTGTCGGAAAGTAAAAAGGCGTCGAGCCCGGATGGGTTGAACATGGGTTTTTTAAGAGGTTTTGGCCACAGTTGAAGGAAGATATAGTTAAGTTTTTTAATGACTTCTATTTGGGGAAGAAGTAGGATAAAGGGGTGAACCATTCATTTATTACGTTGATTCCGAAGAAGTCCAACCTGGTGAGTTTGGAGGATTACAGACCAATTAGTCTTGTTGGAGGCTTATACAAGATTGTGTCCAAAGTATTAGCGAGAAGACTTAGGATGTGTATTGATTCCCTTATTAGCCCAACTCAGTTTGCTTTTATTCCAGGTAGACAGATCCTAGACTGTTCGTTTATAGCCAATGAAGGCATTGATTATTGGAGTAAAAAATGATTGAAAGGTGTGGCTTTCAAAGTGGACTTTAGATTAGCGTATGATGCAGTGGATTGGTCGATTTTGCTGAAAATTATGGAATATATGGGTTTCGGGCAAATATGGCGGTCAGTATTAGTTAATGGATCTCCCACGGAAGTTTTCGAGATTTCTAGGGGTCTTCGCCGGGGCTGTTCATTATTGTCGTTGCTATTCAATCTCGTGGGAGAGTTGCTCAGTCTCTTGTTGTTTAAGACGGTAAAATTGGGGCTCTTTAATGGGTTTCAGATCGACAACTCTAGTAGGTCATTTTTGCTATCACTTCTACAGTTTGCTGATGATTTGTTAATTTTTTGTAATGCGACATAGGGTCAATTGAAGAATGCAAAGAGAGTTGTGCTTATTTTTGAAATGTGCTCAGGGCTTCAATTAAATTTAACGAAGAGCAAGATCTTCGGTATTAATGTGGAAGAACCTATTATCAAAGATTGGGCAACTTCGATTGGTTGTTCGGTAGGTGTTTTTCCGACGAATTATCTTGGGCTTCCCCTTGGTTCCAAGAAAAATTCAGCTAGCCTGTGGGAGCTGATTTGTAAGAGATTTTACAAGAAATTGACGGAGTGGAAAGCAAACACGTTATCTCTTGCTGGCAGGGTTATTTTGGTGGAATATGTGTTAGATGTTCTGCCTATATATTATATGTCACTGTTTCGAATGCCATGCAGTGTTCGAAGGAAGCTAAATTCTTTTCTGGCCAATTTATTATAGGGGGTTCGGCTTAGAGAAATCGAAACCATTGGATTAAATGGTCGACATTGTGTAGTGCGAGGACTATGGGGGTTTGGGTATCATTGATTTAAACCTTATGAATAGGGCTCTTCTTGGGAAATGGGTCTAGAAATTTGGGAATGAAAGGGATTCTTGGTGGAGGAAGGTTATGTGTTGCATGTATAATCTTGATAATAGGTTGATCTCTCTGAATAAAATTGTGCCTTCTAATTCATCTTGGCTTTGGAAGGGTGTGCTCAAAAGGTTTTGGTTGAATGATGCCTTTGGGTCATGTTTCCGTAATCACCTCCAAATTCAAGTGAGGAAGGGAGACTCCATTCTTTTTTGGCATAAGTGTTGGCTGAGCAGTGTTCTTTGAAGGTAAGATTCCCTAGGCTTTTCGCAATCTCCGTTAAGAAGGATGGAGTTATTTCGGAGTATGGTTTTCCCAGCTTAGGGGGATGGCATTGGGATATTCCTTTGAGGAGGAATCTACTCGATTGGGAAGTTGATCAATGGATTGAGTTATTTTCGTTGTTGGGGAATGTCAACATTGGCTCGGGTGGGGTTGATTGCTGCTTATGGCGTGGAAATGGGGATGATTCATTCTCGGTAAGTTCATGTATTAAATTAGTGACTCGTCTGTCCGATTCTGATATGTCGTGGTTGGATTTGGTTTGGATCGGGTTAGTCCCTCCTAAAGTGGAGGCATTTCTTTGGCAAGTTCTCCATCATAAATTGGCCGTTAAAACCGAACTTATTAGACGTGGTGTCAATGGGATTGAGGATAATCTTTGTCTTTTGTGTGGTCTTCAGGCTGAAACTGTTTCACATCTCTTTTTTACTTGCAGTATAGCGTGGGGTTTATTGGTTCACTTTTTGAATTTACAAAATTTGGTTGTTGTTTTGCCTAATAACCCAAAGGATTTTCTGTCCTCTTGGGCACTTTTATGTCTGAAGTCAGTATTATGGAATTATATCCCAGGGGTTGTTTTGTAATCGTTATGGAAATGTCAAAATCATTTGGTTTTTGAGAAGGGAAGCTTGGATCAGACTCTTTTATTTTTCCTATCTAGATATAGAGTGACCTTGTGGTATTTGGAAAAGATTTCTAATCCCTCTGTTTAGCTAGACTTACTTGTTGGGGACCTATCTTTAGTTGATCATTGCATTTCTTCAAAAATAAGTCATCCTCGTCATCTTAGAACCCCTCGCCTGCTGGTTTCTTTAAAGTAAATGTTGACGGGGTTGTTAGCAGGGACTGGAAGAGTAGTGGCATTGGAAGCCTTCTCAGGGATTTTGATGACAAGTTGTTGGGTTCTTTCTCGCTTCCATTCGGTCTTGGCCCTCCATTATTACCAGAGCTAAAAGGTATTCAAGTTGGATTATCTTAGTTTTTGGATTCGGAATGGGGCGATAAGGGTCGGTTAATCTTGGAAAATTATTATGCTAATGTGGTGGATTGGATTAAGGATCCAGGCGATTGTCAGACTTTTGTTTCTTTCCTATTTAAGGATATTGCTAGTTGTGTTAAGGAGTATAATTTGATTGTTAGGCACGTTAAGAGATGCTTTAATTGGGAGGCGGATAGCCTAGCCAAAGCTGGCATTAGGTAGTTGTTTAGTTCTTGATGTTATGTATTATGTGTCACGGGTGAGGGTAGCTTTAGTCCTTTGGAATTGTCTTGTAATTGCTTGGTTGTAGCCTTGGTGTACTTCGTGTCTTAGCAATAAAATTATGGGCACTCTTTTCCTCCTTTCAATATCCGTTAGGTTACTCTTGTAGCTCGACGGTTATGAAGGAGTTTTTTAACGAGGCCTTTTTTCTTATAAAAAATAATAAATAAAAAAATTTCAAATACCATTGAGAATTAAGCTTATAGATTAGAAATGATAATGCCTTAATGCTCACCTTTGTGACAGGATAAGCCCTTATTGTTTTGTGCAGTCTGGACTTCAGCGATCACCCCTTCCTCACTATTGGCACAAGTTTTGTCTTCTCTTGAGGTCATCTTGTATGTGCCATTAACATTTAAATCAGCTTCCAAGCAAGAGGCAATATATGTCGAGTCTTGATTAGCTAAACAAATTTCTTTATTACAGGCTTTCTCTGCTTCTGCAGTTTGTTCTGGATGGCACTTTTTAGATGTAATCAAAACTGATGAATCATTAGTTCCTTCATTTCTAGGGGAAACATTAGCACCTTGGGTCGAAACAGAAGATCTATCATTGTCTACCTTTTCAAGAGAGTTATTACTTTGGCAAGAATCTTGGACTACATTCTGAGAACTCTCTATTTGAACCCCCATATTAGAATCATCAGTACCAGCATAAGGAGAAATTTCTTTTGCAGTGACGTTGGTTCCTTCCAATGGAGTGACATTCCTAGAATTGTCATCTCTTGCACAAACATCATGGTTTGAACGAGGAGACTGATCATTGCTTTTAGAATTACAATCAACTTCTCCATCTTTTTTGCCATTTGAAGTTCTCAACTCTGCCAATGGGACACCTGACTCACTAACACTATTATTACAACAATCTATTTCTCCCTGAAACTTGGATTCTACTGGAGTATTTTCTTGATTACTAAATATCTGATCTCTAAACTCTGGATGATACAAAAATCTAGCACTTAAACTCCGGCCAATAACAGGTAAATGTATTCTTGCTTTAAAGTTTTGTCGTGTTGGTGGCGGACCTCCGGCTATAGTAAATTTTAAATTTGAAGATTGCTCCATAGATGACGACCCACCATTTGAAGGAACACCAACCCCACCATCACAGCCATTCTTTTCATGGCCAGAATCATGGGCTCCAGGATTGACTTCTTCACATCCAAATAATCTGAAGAACTCTACAGGCTGTTGAACAGTGGAGAAAGCCCATAATCCAACACTTGCGCCACAGAGTCTGCAATCTAAAACAACAGATTTGGGATCACACTGCAATCTAAAAGAATTCTCAAAATCTTTATTTGCCTCCAAATTTTCATTTTCATCAGCTGCATGGAAATTGAGACACAAATTTAGTCCATGATCAGCTCCCTGGGGTGAAGTTAAAATTTCAGCATCTTTGGCAAACTGATTCTGACCATCCTTGCAATCAACTACGTACGGTAGTAAACGTAGTTCCCAGCCACTGAGACTTATAAGCTTTTGAGCCTGCGAAATATTCAAATTATTTTGTCTTCAGCATCAACAGGAATGCATAAATGATAAAACCACAATCACCAATGCGGGACATGTTATACTCGTACAATCATAAATTGAAGAAATCATTGGATTATTATCACTCTCTGTTACCAAAGCAGTTGGAATGGAATGAAAACGCAGTACAGGAAAGTTTCAGAAATCAACATGTACATGTACCAGCCCTACTGTACTTGTAATTGCAAACCACAATGAGAAACAAGTTTCGTACCTGATAATACAAGTTAGCAGAATCCACATCAGATCCAAGTTCTATACTTTCTAATTGAGATAACTCAACATTCTCTTTCAGACAATCCACCATTAGGGGTTGTCTGAGAAATTCTTCAAGCTGAGGGCTTCTCATAAATTCAATGGCCGAAGATGAAATTACTGGAAGAGCTGTAAGTTGAAAGAGTGAGTTGGATCTCGCCCGGAATTTTTCAACTAAATCAGAAGGCACAGTGGGAGGAAATTCAGCCAGTCTTTCATCACAGGCATTGTCAATCCAAGGGCAAGACAATTTGTGTCCACTATCCAGCTTTAAGCTAAATACAGAGGCTGCCTTCTCAACTGAAGTGTATAGAAAAATGACATCTAATTTAGCCTTGTAAATACCAGAATTTACGTACTATTTGTTCAAAGTTAAGCAATATTAGATGCAAAACATGCCTTGCTGCCGTGTCCAAGAAGGTGGAGTAGAAAACTGGAGACGTGCTCCGCATGATTCACAGGCCAGAATGTCCATATCCACATTGACCCAACCTCTAGTGGCACAATTCACAGCACTTACCACCTAAAAAGAATGGGAAAACATTATCATCTCTTTATATATGGGTTGAGATTAACTTATTGCTTCTTTTTCCAGCGAATATCTCATCTCCTGCTATTTATCTCGGTTGTCTATTTCCATTCATATAATCCTAAATCTGTGTAAGACTAAAAAAAATTATACTCTGTAATTGGATCATATATATATATATATATATATATATATATAACTTAGGAAAGAGCGGAATCAGATTATAGAGAATATAAAATAGAAACCTTGGGCTTAGCAAACCAAGTCATGGATTTGAAAGTTGATAACCTCCTGAGAAAATCTCCTCTATCCCATGGTCTGCAAATTGGAGATTCACTCGCAACTAAGCAATGCTGCTTCTCTTCCGCTATTAAAGCATACGATGGATTCGGCCGTTTCTTCGATCGTAATAGTCGTCTTTGTTCTCCCGTTCCCGTTTCCAGTGGCGAAGGCGGCAGACTACCAATTAACCACAAACATATTTATAAATAAATAAACAAACAAACAGCGGTTGTAACGATATTTGATACAAAATTCAAGTTTCATCAGCTAGGAGGAAACAAATCAGTAGTTAGAAGGAAACCTGGAGGAGGAAGGGTCTTGGAAGAGCTTGTCCATGATCAAATGAAACCTCTTCTCTGCATCGTCGGCCATTTTTCCTTTTATCGAAGAAACAATATCTTTGCTGTACAAGAAAACGAAACCGAAGAAAGTTGTTTAACCTTTTGCCGGTCCTACAACGACTGGGCTCTTCTAATGTCTAACCATCGGCTTTCTTCTCGCCTAGCATCATTGGATAAGTTCAGGGCCAGGCCGAGAGAACAAAATAATGAAGATAGAAGCGGGTCAATTAGTAGGCCCAAAATAAAAAGGCTCCAAGGATTAGAGACAGAGTAGGGATGGTCGGGTCGGATTTTCAGTCAACCTGACCCGACCTAAAAATATATATCTTTCACTCAAAATTCGATCCAACCCGAGTTTAGGCTTGATTTCACCTGACCCGATTTTTTGAAATAAAACTTGAACCTGAAATAAATATATTTATAAAAATATATTATTTTTATTCGATAAAAATATAGATCTAATTGGAAAAAATATATAGAGGGTTATTTTTATAATTATTCCTAAATATAGAAGGTAAATTTATATTATTTTTTGAGTTAGATATTTTTTACCCTAAACTCAAACCCAAACATATTATCTAAAAAAACCTAACCCGACCCGGACCGAAAATTTTTTATAAAAAAAACTTGATTCGATAGGATCAGATCAAGTGTCTCGTTCTCATCCCTAAGAATACCCTTGTTAATAGATATGAGGACAATTGCCCCCATGATGGTCTAATTACATTCTAGGTCACTAGTTTAAAACTAATTTCAATTAAGCATTTGTCCCCCAAAATTTTTAGTATAATTATTTTCGGGATAGTGTCAATTTTAAAATTAATGGAATTAATCATTGTCCTTAATTACTTAAACCCTTCAATATCTTAATTTTATCATTTAATTACTTTTTAGAACCCTATTTATGTTAAGACTAAATACAAAAATAAGTGTTAACACTTTGTCTCGAAAAATATTTTAGTGCCTAAAAAAAATTTCGCTGAAAATAGGTGTCTCATGTTTCTAACGTTATACTTTTAGGTATCCGCCGTTAAAAATCATCATTAAGTGACACTTGTCATGTTTTTTGTGATTTTGAGAATTTATTTTAAAATAAAAAAATATTTTTTGTAAAAAAACGCACACACCCAGTAAAACCCCAAAAACCTTCCCCCCGTGCCTTCTCCCCTCCCCCACTCCCCTCTTCTATGCCGGCCGACGGTGACCATCATCGGCACTGGCATCGACCCTCGTTGACCTTTCGTCGTAACATGCCACCGTTTGTCAAAGATAAGCGTTCAAAGGTTCATCGATTTTTAAACCACTATCGCAATTCTTTGTTGATTCCGATCGATTTCGATGTCCAGAAGCCACATCGCTACCACCATTCAAACCACCATCCAATTCCGATCAAAATCAAACCATTCGGCAACGACGATGGTGGTCGGAGATGGTTAACGACCATTTTAGGGTTTTTTTTATATTTTTAGTAAAACGTTGGGGTTTTTTGTAAATAAATTAAACCTTTTTTATTTTTTTTCTTGTTTTAATTAAAAAAAATGTTTTTATTATTAAAAAATTAATCAATAAACACCTAAAAGTATAACTGAGAAAACGTTAAGCACCTATTTTTAACGAAAAATTCCTTAAGTACTAAAATATTTTTCGAGACAAAGTTTAGACACTTATTTTTGTATTAAGCCTTATTTTAAAGCTAAACAACTTGACCCCTCGTAATTTAATCTTACTTCCATCTATGAAATGGACGATTATCCCGTCAATCCATCCCGGAACACGAAACCTATAATGGAGTTAAAAAATAATATAATTACATGACATACAAACATTTAAACACGGTTAATACATGATTTGAGTGTAATCATATTTCATGGAAAAATGAATGTGGTAGGAAATGCAAGTTGATTGGGTTGTTTTGTAGTTTTAGGGTCATTGATAGTTCCATGTTGTTCCAAAAGTCCGTACAATGGACAAAGTTGAGCCACTTCTTGGTGATGGGATTTATTACAATATCTGTGACCTAAATATCTTCACTTTCTCATCAACTTCAACTCATTCAAAGTGTTGCCATGAACTGTGAAGAATCTAGATGATATTCCAGGTCAGCATCTTCGTTTTTGCTTCGCTTGCCGCTGTTGCTGTTTCTCCGGTCACCAGAAAGCACCGCTTAAAGAAGCATCATTCTCTCCTATCCGGTCAGTTCATACATACATACATACATACATACATACATATATATGTATAGAATATGTATGGATGGTTAGTCTAAAGCTAATTTATTGGCATGCATTTAGGAAATGAAAAGAGAAAGCTCCTGCAGGAAGAGGATATGCAGGATGAGGGGACTGAAGTGTTCAACAGCAAGAACATGGAAATGGAATTAACCCCAAACTTGATTCATAAGAGAATCGATGGAAAGCCCAAGCATTCCCGAATCTTGTAAGCGAGTTAGAGACGGTGAAATCGAGCCTCGAAACGAAACTGCTCGAGTTGTATAGTCTGAAAGAAAAGCTATCCTGCATTACTTGCTTGCAGAGGAATTTAGATGACAAAACTGCAGAAATCGAAAAACTCGAATTCACGATATTTTCCCTTAGGGATGAGATAAAGGATCTTAAAGAGATTATAATACAGGGCGGTAGCTTGGAGGTGAAGCAGCTAGAGATGGAAACGCAGATGAAAAATGGCAATGCTAGCCAAATGAAGAGGCAAATATTTGTTCTTCAAGAGCAATTATCTGGATTTGCAGACAATGAAACCTCGGCTCAAGATGCTTCAGTCTAAAAGCTGCTCGAAGCCATTAAAGATATCAATTACATGTCCTTAAGATGAGAAAGATAAACAAAGAACTTGAGTTAGAAAAGAGAAATGTCGGTTAAGTTATATGATGCGCATGCCAAAGTATATGTACTTTCTGACACGAAAGGGGTAAGTTTAAGTTTGGATTTCTTTTCTTGCTAACTGCAAGTTTCACTATTAGCAATTGCACAAATTACTCATGTTCGTGTTTGTGTTCATGTTTGGTCCACGAAGTTCATACTTGAAAGTGTGATGCAACTCAAGGCACAAAAATTAGAATACACCATTGCCTGAATCTGAAAAGTTTTCATCTTACCTAGTGTTGTTGTTACAGATCAAGACTATTGCCGAGATTAGTGAACTGAGGCATGCCAATGGGGACCTCTCGAACGACTGCAGAAGAGCAGATTCGCCATGGATGAGGAACTAGTGTACCAACGCTGGCTCAATGCTTGCTTAAGGGCTGAAATCAAACATCAACAAGAAAAACCTTGCAATAGCAAGTTCGAAAAGCTTCAGACCCTAAATCAAGCAAAATAGTTACACAATTCCCCGACACGAACATCGCTTCGTCTTACAGCTCTTTAACCGGTACTGAAGACACAGATAATAGCACTGTTAATAGCTTCAAATAGTAATTCTGGCACAGGTGAGAGCGACTCCCAGAGAAGCATCAATGATCCTAGTGTTGTTTCATCACCAAACAAGTCCAACACAAGTCCTTTAGACAAAAATGGCATCATACACAAGCTTTCTACTTCAATGGTCCCTTCAAACACATCAATGCTAAGCACTAAACTAGGTGGTATATATAGCAAGAAAAATATTCCATCGGCATCAGTAGAAGGGGTATTAGATGAAAAGCCAACCGTTTTTTTAGTCACCGAGGATCGATCAAGTGTGAAAACCGGTGCATTGGCTGGTGAGAAACATGAATCTCTGTCGTCTGAGATCGTTCTGATAGAGCCACACCAGTCAAGTGGTCACTCAAATAGGAAATCCATTGACAAGGATGTAGGTGAACCCAAGAAGTTAGAAGGGTAGCAAATGCTCGACCTGAAGGGAGGCTGCATTCGAGCATTTCCGATATTATTCCTACTGAAAGTAAGACATAATCTCCCATAAAACCTTATATATTTTCTTTTATATTATGTGTATTTATTTTACTCCTGTGTTTTCACATCTTTTTGCAATGATATACTAATCTTGACATATTAATGAAACATAAAATGGTTGTTGTTATATATGAATGAATGGAAGCTGAAACTAAAATACATATTCCAACTATCTTAGTTTGGTGGTATTTAATTTTAGGGTAAACTCTGTTGATAGTTACTTATGTTTTCGCTATGACCGATTTTGGTCACCGAAAAAAAAATTAGGGGCAATGGTACCTAACATTATAAATACGTTCGATTTTAGTCTCAAACGTTATCGATCTATCCAATTTAAATCCCTTTTCCGTTAACTTCCCTTAACTCGTTAATAAAATTATCATGTGGCAATTAAAAAATAAAAAATCACATGGTTCCCGCTGCCCCTTCTTCTTCTTCTTCTATTCTTCTTCTCCCCCATTAACCACCCATTGTCTCCTTCCAATGTTAAAACCCCCATGTCGCGACTTTGGTTCTTGGTCATTCTCCGACAAACATTGCTACACCTTTTCTGGTCGAAACATCTCTAACGTGGTGTAAGCCGATGAATGATTGAGATGAATCAAACAAGAGGTTCCTTAAAGAGTAAAGAGTCTCGATTTCATCTTTATTTACTAGTAGTGCATTTTTGGCCATCAAAATCAAGGGTTGAACCTGAACCCAAAACAAAAAAAGGAGGACATCCAACGTTTATGTTTTGGACAACTTTAGCTTTGGTTCCGATAGTACTTAGAGAGAAATGATTTACATTCCAATGACTATGATAATCTTCTCAGTTTTTTGATTCAAAACCTTAAGTTTTCCGACGCGATGATTCTGAAGTCGGTGGTTATTATCTTGATAGAGATTAGAGTGTGGTGTGATGGCTATAGCAATAAGGTACTTCGTGGGATAGCTAGCGATAAAGCTCCATTTGTTATTATAATAGCGGGTTTTGGTGGATATGATGATGGAGACGACATGGGTGGAGGGCTGTGAGTATCTTAAAAGGTTTTGTTTTATTTTTTTAATTGTTATAGGTTTAAGCTCAGGAGGAGGAGGATGAAGAAAAAGAAAAAGAAAAGATTTTTCTATTATTTTTTAAATGCCACATAAGATTTCTGTTAAGGGGTTAACGAAGTTAACTGT